GGGAGGTAACTGAATCATGGGGGCAGATCTTTTCCATGCTGTTCTCGTGATAGTGAATGAGTCTCATAAGATCTGACGGTTTTATAAGGGGGAGTTTCCCTGCACAAGCTCCCTCTCTCTTTGCCTCCATATAAGACGTGACTTGCTCCTCCTGCCTTCTGCCATGATTGTGAGGCCTTCCCCACCAGGTGGAACTGTAAGTCTATTAAACCTCTTTCTTTGGTAAGTTGCCCAGTCTCGGGTATGTCTTTATTAACAGCGTGAACACGGACTAATACAGCATCTCTCCCTCTGATTTCTCAGATGTGAATGGAGCTCTCTGTTCTCCCTGCTCCTGGGTCACCAGGACCCGAGCCACTGCATCGATGCAGGCCAGGGGTGGTCTCAGTCCCCTCATGCCCCTCAGTCCCCCTTGCTGCCTTGTCCCTGTATGAACGTCTCGTGCTGTAAGGCTTGCTGCACATAGATGCAAATCAAGAGCTGCGTTCAAGGGCAACACCACTTTTGGGGAGCTGCTTCTAACACCCCTGTCTAAGTCAGATACGCTTTCGCTAATTCTCTTGTATTGCAGTCTGCTGGCTTCCTTAAAGCATTTGCTGGGCTTATAACTAGTTTTTCTGTTTGTTTGCTTGTTTCTCTCTTTCAGCCCGAGGGACTGATGCCCAAAAAGGCTGGGCACCAGATCTTGCCCGGTGGGGTGTATTCCTACTATCCAACTTGGCACCTGGCAGGCAGAAGGCGCTAAACCTGTCTGCCAAATACATGCCTACTCAAATGATGAGTGGGCAAATGCTGTCATTTGGCCACTTCAATGACTCCCTCAAGATCCTTAAAGATGCTGATGCAAACAGATAGCTTGGGATGTTTCTAGAGGCTCCAAAAATGAAGAGGAAACCCAGGGATGAATCCTGAGTACTCTCTGGTCTGAACTGCAACATGGGTCTCGAAAGCAGGGCTCGGAGCACACCCTGGGCAGCGAGTGGGATGCCTGGGGACACTGACCAGCAGTCCTGGGGGTATTCTCTATCCACATGGGGGCCTCCCAGTGGCTGGGCCCACGGCAGGCTGGCCCATGACTGCCCAGATGGGCAGCTGAGCGTGTTTGGAATTCTGGACCTGGGGTGTCACGATGTGTCACCAATGCCCTGGGTTTCCACTTGGAAGTCAACGACTCAGCATGGCCTCCTGGTTTGTACTGCATCCTTCCAAAGACCAGAGGAGGAGGACGGTGATACAACCACCTCTTTTATGCTACACCCCAGCTGCCTTGCTCATCCTGACTCAGCTCATAACCTCCCTTCAGCCATGAAGTAGCCAGACTTCAGTGGTTCTGTGTCAGTTGACACCCAGCAAACCAAGATGGTGCCCACGGATGTAAGAGGGCACCCACTGATCCGAGATGATGCCACCACTCCTAAGACCATGCCACCAGTCCGAGATGGCACCGACCAATCAAAGATGGTGCCATCACTCCCAAGACCATGTCACTGATCTGAGATGACACCCACCAATCAAAATGGTGCCCACTGATCCAAGAGGGAGCCCACTGATCAAGATGATGACACGATTCCAAGATGGTGCCCATTGATCCAAGATGGTATTCACTGATCCAGGATGATGTCATTACTTCCAAGACTATGCCACCAATCCAAGATGGCACCCCCCAAGATAGCACCCACTGATCCAAGATGGTGCCATCATTCTCAAGACCGTGCCACCAATCCAAGATGGCACCCAACCCAAATGGTGCCCACTGATTCAAGAGGGCACCCACCAAGATGGTGCCACTGATCCAAGATGGTACTACCATTCCCAAGACTGTACGACCAATCCAGGATGGCACCCATCACTCTAAGAGGGTGCCCACAACTCCCAAGATAGTGCCACTGATCCAAGATGGCACCCACCAATCCGATATGGTGCCACCACTCCAAGATGGCGCTGCTAATCCAATATGGCACCCACCAATCCAAGATGATGTCTACTGATCCAACATGGCACCCACAACTCCCAAGATGCTGCTACCAACCCAAGACAGCACCCACCAACCAATTTAGTGCCACCAATCCAACATGGCACCCACCAATAAAAAATGGCAACCAACACTCCAAAACGGTACCCACTGATAACAGGATAGTGCCACCAATCAAGAGAGTACCCACCACTTTGAGACGGTGACCACCTCTCCAAGATGGTACCCACTGATACAAGATGGTGCCACTAATCTAAGACAGTGCCCACTGATCCAAGATGGCACCCACTAGAGGCGGCCAGGGGCAGGCCTTTACCTTTCAAGCGCCCTGATGTGGTCTTCCAGCAGAGCATGCCCTCCAGGTGAAGCTGCCGCTGAAGCATGTCTTCCTTGCGGAAGGTGAGCCCGTTCTTGAGTTTGCCGGAAGACTTCAGGTCCATCTTCCCTGCGATCTCCCTGAGGCGCTGGCCCTTCTCAAACTCGCTGACCTTGGCATCCACTTGTGAGATGATATCTTTAATGAGGTTCAGGGCCTGGGTCAGGTCTTCGTAGTCCTCAGTGCCAGCTGCCACACATAGCAGAGTTAGCGTCTTTCTTTTCCACTTTAACACAACAGAAGTGGACACACTCACTATGGGTGTGTGGGATCTATGAGGTGTGTGGAC